AAGCAAAATGGATAACTTTGATTACATTAAATTGAAAAGTTTTTGCACAAAGAAAGCCAATGCAACTAAGATTAGAAGGAAAGTAGAAAATTAGGAAAAATTTTTTACAACCAGTGTCTCTGATAAGGGCCTAGTTTCTAAAACATATAGACAATTAAGTAAAATTTATTAGAATACAAGTCATTCCCCAATTGATAAATGGTCAAAGAATATGAACAGCCAGTTTTCAGATGAAGAAATTAAAACCATCTATAATCATATGAAAAAAATGCTCTAAATCACTATTGATTAGAGAAATGCAAATCAAAACAACTCTGAGGTACCACATCACACCTATCAGATTGGCCAAGATGACAAAATAAGAAAATGAGAAATGTTGGAGAAGATCTGGGCAAATTAGAACACTAATGCATTGATGGTATAATTGTGAAATGATCCAACCATTTCGCAGAACAATTTGAAACTATGCCCAAAGAGCTATAAAAATGTGCATACGCTTTGACCCTACAATAGCAATTCTAGGGCTGTATCCCAAAGAGATCATAGAAATGTGAAAAGGACCTACATGTACAAAAATATTTATAGCAGCTCTTTTTGTGGTGGCAAAGAATTGGAAATTGAGAGGATGCCTATCAATTGGGGAATGGCTGAGAAAGTTGTGGTATATGAATACAATGGAATACTATTGTGTTATAAGAAATGATGAACAGGCTGACTTCACAAAAACCTGGAAAGACTTGTATAGTCTGATGCTGAGTGAAGTGAGCAGAACCAAGAGAATGTTGTACACAATAAGAACTACGTTGTGCAATGAGTAATAGTGATATTCCCTTCCCAGCAATACAAGGATCTAAGACATCTCAAAAGGCCTCATGATGGAAAATGCTATCCACATCCAAACAAAGAACTATGGAATTTGAATGCCAATTGAAGCATACTATTTGCTATTTTTTTCTCTTCTGTTAAATTTTGCTTCCTCTCTCTGGTGACTCTTCCTATTGGTTCTAATTTTTACTTACAACATCAGTAATGTAAAAATATGTTTAATAGGAATGTATATTTATAGCCTATATCATATTGCATACTGTGTTGAATTGGGAGGTTGGGAGCGAAGGAGAGAAAAATTAAAAACTCAAAAGCTTATGACAGTGTTTCTTGATAAACCAAAATAAATTAATTAAAGAAATTACTCTAAACAAATTTTATAACAGCAGATCCCATAAAAAGACAGAATAAAGCAAATTACCAGCACAAGACAACTTGGAAGGTTGACAGGAAAGTTCTGTTGTGCCAGGCTGAGAGAATAGCACAGTTCAGCATGGAACACACAAGCAAATGCAGAGCAGGCCTCAGGAGACTGAATCACAGGTAGCTGTGGCAGTTTTTAGACTTCTCAACCCACAAATGCCAAAGACAACTTAGAACATCAGTGGGAAATGTCTGCCAGACATGGGTGAGAGAGGAGCATGGTCTAATCTTGCCCAGGGCAATGGCCACAGCAACAGAAGATGCATCTAGAGGTCTCAGCTCACAGTCTTTGGAGGATCAAGCAACTGAACAGAGGAGGATTACAGGGATCTCTCTGCTGGCAATGAGGAAGGATTATCTTCCTTTACTTGTACTTGGATTTGGGTCACATTCTTGGTTGGTAATCTTAGGAGAAGGAGGAGTGCTGCCAAGGCAAAACTTGAGGTGATAGCAGTGGAGTGGGAATCCTCACAGTTCCAAGGCAGAAAAGAGTGATAGTTGTTACTCACAGAACAGAGGACAAGCCAGGAAAGGAATAAACACCTCTCCTTTGATCATATTGCCTTGAAAGAACTGAAAATTTACAGGTCCCTAGAAGGATCTCTAAAAACAGCTGCACAAAACCCCTGAAGTTTGGGACAGTATACCCTCCAGACTGGAAACAGAGTTGTACCTTAACAAAGAGTTAAAAAGTCAAATAATTTGGCTGAGAACATGAGCAAACAGAGGAAAAAAAATTCAGACTATAGAATCTTGCTTTGGTGATAAGATCAAAATATACAACCAGAACACAACAAATTCAAAGATCCTACATTCAAAGCCTCAAAGAAAAATCTCAATTGTTGTTAGTTTATGAAAGAGCTCAAAAAGAATTTTGAAAAACAAGTAGGAGAAATAGAAGAAAAATTGGGAAGAGAAATAAGAGTAATGCAAGAAAATCACAGAAAATGAGACAACAGCTTGCTAAAGAAGACCCAAAAATATTGAAGAAATTGCCTTAAAAAGCAGAATTGGCCAAATGAAAAAGGAGGTCCAAAAGCTCATTGAAGAAAATAATTGCTTAAAAATTAGAATGGAGAAAATGGAAACTAATGACTCTGAGAAAACAAAGTTATAAAACAAAACCAAAAGAATGAAAATAGGAGACAATGTGAAATATCTCATTGGAAAAACTACTGATATGGAAAATAGATCCAGGAGAGATAATTTAATAATTATTGGACTACCTGAAAGCCATGATCAAAAAAAGTGCCTAGACTTCATCTTTCAAGAAATTCAAATATTGTAGAAACAAAATCAGGATAACACAAGATTTAGCAGCATCTATGTTAAGGGATCAGAGGTGTTGGAATATGATATTCTGGAGGTAAAAGGAGCTAAGATGAAAACCAAGAAATCACCTACCCAGCAAAACTGACTATTATCCTTCAGGGGAAAAAAATTGGACATTGAATGAAATAGACAACTTTCAAGCATTCTTGATGAAAACAGCAGAGCCGCATAGAAAATCTGACTTCCAAATACAAGACTCAAGAGAAGCATAAAAAGGTAAACAGGAAAGAGAAATCATAATGGACTTATTAAAGTTGAACTGTTTACATTCCTACATGGAAAGATGATATTTGTAACTCATGAGATCTTTCTCAATATTTGCATAGTTAGAGGAAATACATACATACATACACACATACATACATATATACATACAGAGGGCACAGCATTAGTTGGATATGAAGGGATCATATCTAAAAAATAAAACTAATCAATGAGAGAGGAATGTACTGAGAGAAGGAGAAAGGGAGAAGTAGAATGGGGTAAATTATCTACCATAAAAAAGGCAAGAAAAAACTTTTACAGTAAAGGGGGGAAGGAACGGGGAATGGAAATGAGTGAATCTTACTCTCATTGGATTTGGCTTAAGGAGGGAATAATATACACAACCAATTGGGTATAGAAATATATCTTACCCTACTGGAAAACAGGGGGGAAGGGGATAAGAGAAGGGTGAATGATAGAAGGGTGGGCAGATTGAGGTAGGGATTAATCAGAAGCAAACATTTTTTGAGGAGGGACAAGGTCAAAGGAGAAAACAAAATAAATGAAAGGGTGGGATATGATGGAGGTAAATAGTCTTTTACAACATGACTATTATGGAAATTGTTTGCATGATTACACATATATAACCTATATCAAATTGATTGCCTCCTCAATGAGGGTGGCTGGGAAGGAAGGGAAGGATTTGGAAGATTTGGAACTCAAAGTTTTAAAAATGAATGTTAAAAACTGTTTGGTTTTTTTATTCATGCAAATGGGAATTAAGATACACAGGCAAAGGTGTATAGAAATCTATCCTGACCTACAAGAAAATAGAAAGGAAAGGGGTGATAAAAGGGAGGGTAGATTGGGGGAAGGGGTATTCAGAATTCACATAGTCTTAGTGTTGGAGATTGGAGAGATGAATAGAAAATTTGGAATTTAAAATCTTGTGGTAGTGAATGTTGAAAACTAAAAATAAATTAATTAATAAAAAATAAGCCAAGGCATGCCCTCCTTTTTTTTTTGTTTTTTGTTGTTTGTTGTTTGGTTTTTTGGCTAGGCAATGGGGTTACGTGACTTGCCCAGGTTCACACAGCTAGTAAGTGTTATGTGTCTGAGGGCAGATTTGAACTCAGGTCTTCCTGAATCCAGCACTGGTGCTCTATCCACTGTGCCACCTAGCTGGCCCTTGCCCCTTTTAATAAAAAAAAATCAAACTCAAAGGGGAAAATCCTTAGGGTTGCTGGGCAAAAGAAAAACAGTTACTATTTATGTTCACTCATAACCAAGAAGGCCCAAAAATGAACCATTAAGCAGTGCTTGGACAGGGACCTATTGTTGTCTAATCAGTGAGATCCAGAGTGAGTTAGATTTAAGGCTTGGTCTTTGAGAAAGAAATCTAGCCAGTAAACCCCAAGTTAACTAGATAGATTTCAGGCATCAAAATTTACCTTCTTTTGGGCACAGTACCCTCTGGTATGGGCATGATACCAGAGAAGAGGAGAGGAGAGGAACTGTTATGAACTGGAGATATGATAACAAGGAAACAAAACCATCCTTGCCCTGAAGATTTTATGCCAATTAGAGAAGATAACACATATAAAGGAGCTCCAGTTAGAAGTGTGAAAGTGTGTATTGTCTGGTTATGACTTTATTATTTGGATTAATTTTTATACAACATCATCACCATCATCAAGATGAATTAGAATTCAACCAGCCCATCAAAGAGTTTACAGACTTATAGAGCAGATGATATATGTACACAAATAACTGTAATACAAATGAGAATGTACCTACTTGTGAGAAGACTACACAAATGCAATGACTAGACTTATCTGTATCCTTTCTAATTATGAGACTGTGTTGATTCAGTATGATGTTAGGAATAATTAAACTTAATTTAAGAACAATTATTGTTTGACTATTTGAGAACAGTCAACTTAAGAACAATTGCAGAAGCCTGTATGATTTCCCCATAAATACATCTAGTTCTTATCAGGCAGTTGGTAAGCCACAGTTGCTGCCTGTGGTTATGACATCAGTAGAACAATTGTAAGTAATATGTATGCTTTTTGTTTAGAGATATTGGAGATACAGACAAGTTTTCAAATTTTGTGTTTACTGAACACTGTATTGAATAAGGATTCAAAGCTTCTGTACTAAAATTTCATGACTTGAATCTGTAACACAAATCATTATTTTCTCTCTTACTACAGTGCAAGCTAGATTATCAAGCGTGTGTCTTAGGAAAACAGATCTCAGTCAAGTGTGAAAGACGGTGCCCTTGTCCTTCAAATAAATCCACAACTGTAGTCAGAAATGAAAAGAGAGGTAAGTAATGAAGATTTATGTTTTTTTTTTTCTTTAAGAAAGTGATGCAGAATGGAAATATGAGCTTACTCATCACAGATGGTGATGTATTATTTTAAAATTGATTCTAGTAAGATGCATTATTTTGCAACAAATTATGAGTAATCACATTTCCTACAATAATATATATGTATATATACATACATTATACACACATTACCAAGTTGTAATATTCTATAATTCAATTAAATGACTTGCTTTGTGTTCTTGTATTTATAATTGCTGCCAACGATATTTATATTCAAATTTGTCACTAGTAGAATGGCTGTATGTAAGTCTTTTTCTTCCTTACTTATTGTGTAAAAACAAAGAAAAAGGAAAGGGTTACTTGAATCATTCTTTTGGAAATTTGTAAAATCAATGTGTGATTGACACCAATAGTTTCTTTTTGAAAAGAAGGAGATCAGAGAGAAAAGTAGTGATGAAACATGTTAGGTGCTTATCTTGTAATGTATACACAGATAATAATGGTACGCTTGCTTTGGGCAACACTTTTCTTGCTATTAATTTAAAAAAAATTTTTTTTAAATTTAAATTAATATTTTCTTTTTCTCCCTACTCTCTCTCATTTAAAAAGTCAAATGAACAATCTTTTATTAGGTACTTACTATTTGTGTCAGGCACTGGGTATAAAATTCAAATAAAAAGAAAGACAGTCCCTGCCCTCAAGGAGGGCATTCTAAAGGGAATAGGAAGAAAAGCAGGAGGTTGGGGGAAGATAGAATGTGAAGGTACCAGAGCAGGAGCTTAATGGAGAAAGAAGTAAGGAGCAGAGCCCTGGAATGAAGATATCAAATAAGCTGCTCTAGACACTTCCTATAAATGGCATTTCTTGGAGGAGCTGATCAAACAGAGATAGAGACAGACAAGGCAGAGGGATCTTACAGGATGAGAAGGCCACAGGAAAAGAGACATCTTATGAGGTGGCAAGGCTACAGGAGGATGATGGAGAAAGAAGTCTGGAGAGTCAGGAGTGGAGAAGATGAAGTGAACAGAAAAGTAAAACAAAAATGTTGTAACAAATATGTGTCATCAACTAAAACAAATCTTTGGTTGTCCATGTCCAAAACATATATGTCATATTCTGCAACCTGAGACCCTCACCCCTCTTATGAGAAATTTGTAGTATACTTTATCCTTTGTCCTCTGGAATTTTCAAAAAAAACTGACTGTACTATGAGAATTCATAAGTCTTTCCAAATCATTTAACTTTCTAGTGTTGTTAGTTTATATAGCATTTTCCTGGTTTTGCTCATTTTACTGAGTCAGTTCATACAGTTCTCCCCAAGTTTCTCAGAAACTATCACTCCATTTTTTCTTATGGCACAATAGTATTCCATTACAATCATATCCCATAATTTTCAGGCATTACCCAATTGATGTGCACCCTTTTAATTTCCAGTTTTTACTTTCACAAAAATAGCTGCTATGAATCTTGCTATTAGTTTAAACCCCTTTGTAGAATTCAAGGGAAGGAACAATGAATGTACAAAATTGGAAGATTGTGAGTCAGTTGAAGAAGTAATACTAGGAGAAGAGGAGGGTAAATATAACTTCTATTAAACAGACTACTCCAAACTCTCTAACTCTCTCAGTTTCCTGTTTACTTAGTTCTTATTCTCTAAGCTCTCTTTTATCAGCCTTAATTTTTCATTTAATTACTTCTTTGGAAAGTGTATTTTAATTTGTCCGTTTGTTTCCTATGTCATTTGTGTTTTTTTTTCTTCCTGTTTCTGTTTTCCTAGATATGAGATCTAAACTGGGGGGGAAAAAGAGAAAAAAAAGTAAAAATAATGATACTGAGGGTTGTTCTTTATTTTTTGTGTGTGTCATGAAATGCCATAGCCAAAGAACTTCCTACCTAGAGCCCTACCTTTTGGTGTTCAACCACCCTTTGTTAGAAGAGTTGGTCTTCCAAGAGAAGACATAGTCTGTCACTGGGATGATACTTAACGTTTTTCTAGGTTGATAGAGTCTATACTCTGATGGAATAGCTTTTAAGACACCAGGGTCCCCACCATTAATACTGAAACATCAGAATAACATTTCATTGGATGACAGTTTGCTACAATTTTTAATACAGAACTCATGTGTGATGTGTGTATGTATACTCTATTCATTTTTTTTCAAATTGTTATTCATCCTTATACTTATTTCTTATGTTTCAGGAATATGCATTGAGGACTTTTGTGACAATGAGAATATAGATAAATATTTTTTGAGGGAGAGGAAGGAAAGAGCATACTAAACTCTTAATTTCAAGTTAAATTTCCTTATAAAGAATTCAGTGAAAATGTCTACAATTGCAAATGATGGGTAATGACTGGTGGAATGACTTGAGAAGCACTCTGAGGAGGTTGATAGAGCTGTATTCAAGTATTTCTTCTTCCTGAAGAGATGGTGTGATTTAGTGGCTAGAATACCAATTGAGAACTCAGAAAGCCCTGGGTTCAAATTCTATCTGCAAACATTATTAGACATGGGTCCATGGGCAAGTCATTTAATCCCTCCAAACCTATCAGGCAGCACTTAAGTCAGGCTTAAATCACACATTGTGATCTTTGATCTTCATGGGTGGAAGGAATTCCTTACACTGCCAAAACCTTTCTAAAATTTAAATCTCTCTCTCTCTCTCTCTCTCTCTCTCTCTCTCTCTCTCTCTCTCTCTCTCTTCATTCTGAATTTTATTCCAATAATTCCTCCCTAATGTCTTTCACCCTTATTTAGTAATATTCCTCATCTCCTGAACCTACAAAAAGACAGAATGAAACAAATTTCCAGGCAAAGATAGCCTGGATGGTTGATCAGAAAGGTATATCATGCCAGGTGGGGAGAGGAGCACAGTGCAGTGTAGGGGCACAGGCTTCAGCGATCTTGGAGCAGACCTCAGAGGACTGAATCATGGGCAGCTGTGGTAGTTTCCAGACTTCTCAACCCACGAATGCCAAAGACAACTTAGAAGGTCTGTGGGAAAAGTCTGTGACTGCGGTGAGAGAAGGAGAGAGGTCTCAGCCGCCCCAGGGGCCATGGCTGTTTCCTGAGCTTCCAGCCCACAGGCTGAGGGGGAATCGAGTGGCTGATCAGAGGGGGATGGAAAGGCTCTCTTAGCCAGTGCTGACACAGGAATCTCTTGCTTTACTGGTGCTTGGATCTGGGTCACAGTTCTGAGGGGCGGTCCTGGGGCAAGGAGGAGCACTGGCATGGTGGAGCTTGTTGTGGTAGTGGAGAGGAAACACCTTGACTCTTATCATAGGACCTTGGAAGAACTGAAAATTTTCAGGTCCCTAGAAGTATCTCTGAAAACAGCTGTACAAACCCCCCCAAAGCTTGGGACAGTACATTCTCCACATTGAAAGAAGACTTTTACCTTAACAATGAGTTTAAAACTCAAGTAATTGGCTGTGATCATAAGTAAGTAGTGCAAAAAGAATCAGACTATATTATCTTACTTTGGTGACAAAGAAGATCAAAACATACAACCAGAAGAAGACAACAAAGCCAAAGCTCCTACATCCAAAGCCTCTAAGAAGAATATGAATTAATCACAGGCCTTGGAAGAACTCAAAAGGGATTTTGAGAAGCAAGTAAGAGAAGTAGAGGAAAAACTGAGAGTTTTGCAAGAAAATCATGAAAAACAAGTCAACAGCTTGCTAAAGGAGAACCAAAAAAATATTGAATAACACCTTAAAAAATAGCCTAACCCAAATGGCAAAAGAGATCCAAAAAACCAATGAGGAAAAGAATGCCCTAAAAAGCAAAGTTGGTCAAATGGAAAAGGAAGTCCAAAAGATTACTAAAGAAAATACTTCATAAAAATTTGATCGGAGCAATTGGAAACTAGTGACTTTGTAGGAAATAAACACACTGTATAACAAATCCAGAAGAATGAAAAATTAAAAAACAATATGAAATATCTCATTGGAAAAACAACTGACCTGGAAAATAGATCTGGGAGAGAGAATTTAAAAATCATTGGACTTTCTGAAAGCCATGATCAAAAAGAGAGCCTAGACATCATCTTTTAAAAAAAAAATTATCCAGGAAAACTGTCCTGATATTTTAGAACTAGAGGGCAAAATAGAAATTGAAAGAATCCACCGATCACCACCTGAAAGAGATCCTCAAAGGAAAACTCCAAGGAATATTGTAGCCAAATTGCAGAGTTCCCAGGTGAAGGAGAAAATATTACAAGAAGCCAGAAATAAACAATTAAAGATCTGTGGAAACACAATCAGGATAACACAAGATTTAGCTGCTGCTACATTAAGGCACCACAGGGCATGGAATATAATATTCTGGAGGGCAAAGGAGATAGGATTACAACCAAGAATCACCTACCCAGCAAAACTGAGTATAATCCTTCAGGGGAAAAAATGGTCATTCAGTGACATAGAGGACTTTCAAGCATTCTTGATGAAAAGACCAGAGCTGAATAGAAAATTTGATTTTCAAATACAAGATGCAAGTGGAACATGAAGAGGTAAATGGGAAAGAGAAAATCATAAGAGACTTATTATGATTGAACTCTTTACATTCCTACATGGAAAGATGATATTTGTAACTCCTGAGACCTTTGTCAGTATTAAGGTAGTTGCAGGGGAAAAAATTGTATGTACATATATATATATATATAGACATAGATAAATACATAGATAGATAGGTAGATAGATAGATAGATAGATAGATAGATAGATAGATAGATAGATAGATGGATGGATAGATAGAGGGCACAGGGGGAGTTGAAAATGAAGGGGTCATATCTGGAGAATAAAATTAAGGGGTGAGAGAGGATTATACTAGGAGAAGGAGAAAGGGAGAGGTAGAATGAGATAAATTATCTCACAAAAAACAAAAAAACAAAAAAAGTCTCTTACAGTGGAGGGCAAATGGGGAAAGGTGAGAGGGAATGAGTGAATCTTATTCTCATAGGATTTGACTTAAGGAGGGAATAACATACACAC